CACCTAAAATTAACTAATTGAATTAACTGTTGAATGATAAGCCAACATTAATCTCAACTTCATTGATATAAAGAAGTTACTGTAATTGGGATTAGCATTCGGATTTAGACCAAGGAGAACTCCCTGAAGTTTGCCTTGTAAATCTTTAAGGCTTTTAATGAAGCAAACAAATGGCAAGTTGGTCTTCCCCTATCCTAAAAACATGGAAAGGGAAAGGGGCTGTAACCATTCACATTGTTCTTTAAGTCATCTCATTGTTGTTTTCCCTTTTCCCGGCTCAGCTGACATTTCTTTCTCATCAAGCCAAAGATGCCTTTTCTCTATAATACAGCAGTTGAAATGAACCCAGGCATCTAAACCTCATATGAGATTATGCACTTTTCATGGCCTCTCCTTTAAAACACATTACACAGTATGATTCTATTAAGTGGTTGATAGGCAGCAGCTGAAGCACCTCATAGGATATTGCTAGGATGAACAACACAGACATAAGAAGAAGAAACAAAGAAATTTAAAAGAAATGCATAGTTTCCCTCCCACAAAAAACCAATCTACAAGTAACCCCTTGTGATTTTCCTTATCCAGTCAAGCTGGTTCTTTCCAAGACGAGCATAAACACCAGGGTAGCGACTGTCTGCACATCCTTCTCCAAAAGAAACCACGCCTTTTTGTTCCCCGTTGCATATCAAAGGGCCACCAGAATCACCCTGATAAAAAAAGGAAAGTGTAGAGTTTATTTTATTATTCACAGAAGTAGATTTGTATTTTTCTTTAAAAATATATATTATCAGAACAATATCATAAGGAGAATGTTGAGAAATGTAATCCTAGCGTTTGTACATTTTTCTAACAGTGCCATCTTCTGCCTCTTTGCTAAATGTTCATCAGAATTCTACAGTCGTGTTTTTTAATTTATTCAAAAGTGAACCTGAGTGAACGCAAAGTGACTTGCGTATGAGTAGAAATTAGGCTTGTGTTGTTGGGTGCTTTATATATAAAATAGGTATATAAAATAGGTTGCAGACATGTGTTAGAAATAAAGTCAGGACATTTTAAAAAGGATAGTCAGAAGATATATTTTTAAAAAATCTAAAAAGGTTAATTTTGCTCTTTGTGATGTCTCACAGTTAAATATTTAAAGAAGATAATAGTATATTCCAAATGTATTGCTTGTTGAGTAATAATTACATCAGAGGTTAGTTATATTCAGCCTCTGAATATGTTGTTTTCAACCTCTGATCAAAAACAAAGGAAGCTACTATATATAGAGGTTGAATCGACATTGCCATATAATGCAGTCCCAGAATGCAGACTGACTACATTGAACTGATTTATATGAGTCTGCACTGCTTTATAATCCAATTCAATGCAGTAAATCTGCATTCTGAAACTGCATTATATGGCAGAGTAGACCCAGCATGAGACAGACCAAGGGCCAGTTAGGCCAGTAGTTTCTTCATTGACAGGATGCACCTCCTGAGTTTCCAATGAGAGTTGAAACTCTAAAGGGACAATTAATAGTAAAGGTCTGATACATTTTGATATCTGTGGTAGAACTCAAAATTTTATTCTATCAACTCTTTCCATAAAGGCACCAGATTATGTCTGATTGTGGAAGCTAAATTAAGTAAGTTCTGGTTAGTACTTAAATGGGAAACCACCAGTGAATACCAGGTGCTGTGGGCCATATTTTGGAGAAAAGGACTGGAAAAACCATCAAGCTCATGGGGCCACCAAAGTCAACAGGGGATTTGAGGATACGTACACATGTATGGATGCCTTGAGTCTAGATAATTTTCTTAAGAGCATTAAGATGTCTCTAGACTAGGGCTTGKAAGCAATGAATCATGGAATCATAGAGTTGGAAGAGACCTCATGGGCGATCCAGTTCAATCCCCTGCTAAGAAGCAGGAATATTGCATTCAAAGCACCCCCCCCCCCCTGACATATGGCCATCCAGTCTCTAAACTATGGCTTGGAAGCAATGAATTATACCATCCATTGTTCCTTTTGAATAATGCAACAAAGCCCCATAAATCTTCACATGAAACAAGAACAGAGGTGGCTGGATGGTTGCTCATGACTGCTGTGTGCTTTCAGGTTGTTTCTAACTAATGGTGACCCCTCTCATGGAGTATTTTTTGGTAAGATTTGTTCAGAGGGGTCTGCCTTTGCCTTTTCTGAGGGACTGTGATTCGCCCAATGTTACCATGCACAGTGGGTTTCCATGGCTGAGCAGATATTTGAACCTTATTCTCTAGATGGATTCCACCATGCTAGCATTAATCCCCAAATTGGACACTGATTGTTTTTGTAAAGTAGTCCTTCTTTTCAAACAAAACATCAAAGACACATGGGACATGTATGGATTTTCCATAGGTTCCCAAACCATGAATATTATAATGTCCATATGAAACTGTATCTTTATAGCACCATGTGGATTTTTCCATATGGTACTTCCAGGAGCACTAGAGGCATTTTTGTAAAATAATTATAGGGCTTGGATTTTAATTTACATAAAGACTCTGCAGATTGGATTTTTGAGTGAATTTGATTGATATGTTCTCTCTAGAAATCTCTAAGGTCCTCTTGTGTGACTCCATGGTCAGTTTCTGGCAGAGGCTGACAATAGAGGTGAACCCCAGGAACTAGAGGTTCTTAGAGAGAACACTTCCTTAGGCATTTGTAGCTTCTCCAGCCTGAATCTGTGCTTGATGTCTGAGAGAAGTTGAATATAGAGTTGAGTTGCAGGACCCAGGGATTCCATGGCAGGAGTTCTCTCAGATTAAAAAATAGTGGGTCTTGTATTTCTGGATATATTTTTTTGCTTTTGTGGGAGTCTTGTGCCCCTAAGCCGCGAAAATGTGGAGGTGTTGACTGTACGAAGCAAATCAGAAGTAATTTTTTAGACCCAAGGACTGAATCACAAGGGATTTAACATTTTTGCTCAGGAAGAGTAATTTTTAAAAAAAATCGTGTTAGAAGTGAATTGAGTATAGACAGCAAGTTGCTTCTGGTGTGAGAGAATTGGCTGTCTGCAAGGACGTTGCCCAGCGAATTCCTGGATGTGTTACCATTCTGTGGTAAATGCTAATCAAGGTGGTCAGTTGAAACATTCACACCTAGCTCCAGCAGACAAAAGTCCTTTGTCTCACCCTGGTGTTTCCACAGATATATAAACCCATTTTCCTACCTCCAACAGACCTCATTACCTCTGAGGATGCTTGCCATAGATGCAGGTGAAACGTCAGGAGAAAATGCCTCTAGAACATGGTCATATAGCCCGGAAAACCTACAACAACCCATTCTGTGGTAGGCTTCTCTCATGTCCATGCATGGGAAGCTGCGGCTGACAGATGTGAGCTCACTCCGTCTGGCGGATTCGAACCACTGACCTTCAGGTCTTCAGGTCAGTGGGTCAGCAGTTCAGCCGGCACAAGGGTTTAACTCATTGCGCCACCGCAGCTCCTAGCAAGAGTAATGAACTTGTAAATAAAAATTCTTACCGAACATGAATCTTTCCTGCCTTTTTTGTCACCAGCACACACCATATTCTTTGTTATGAGATGGCGGGAGGAACCATAATGGTTGTGATCACTACAGATTCTTCTGTCAATGACGGTAACATTCACTTCTTGCAGTGTATCAGAATGAATCGGGAGTATCTTGTGAATTCTTCCCCAGCCAGCTACAAGACACCGAGTACCTGCTTTTATGTCAGCAGAAGTTTGAGTGAGCTTGATGATGGACACATATCTATTAATCTTGGCTGAACGCTTAAGCTTTGGTGGGTTAAAAGGGGAAGGGAGGAAGGGGGAGGGGGGAGAGAGAGAGAGAGAGAAGAGAGAGAGAGAACAACAATGCATGAGGAAAGAAACCAAGATTCAAAATCTCCACTTATCTATGACACCTATGAAATGACTATGCCTAACGGTTGGGCTGACTGTCTGCTAAGGGCAACTTCCATCTCTTGCTTTGTGTTCCCCAGTCATAATCTGTTAAGGCTTCTGTCTATTCCTACCAGTTGCATGCTTTTGGACATTTCAGTGGACAGCAACTTTAAGATTTGCAACTTAACTGTTTGGGAGATAAAATTGATGTATGAGAGTGCAGAAAGCAGAGAAAGAGGAAGGAAGGTATGACGTCTGTTATCCTACTGTCCCCAGCTTTGCATCTAAAGCCTAAAAATGGGACATAACAAAGTGGATCAATGATAGTAATACCAAGGTCACTCGTCCACCAAGATCTTGCAAAAGTTACTTTTTTGAAGGACAGCTTGAAGAATCCCCTTATAGCATGGATATGAGTAACCATTTCTTTTTGTTTTTTTGTCCAATGTATTTCCCATGCTCTGATATTTCAGAAATGAAATCTGGGACATATGTAACCAAGCAAGTATGGGTTACTAGGCCCATGTTGACGACCTCTGTATCACCTGCTGATATCATGCATGAATGAGTTCCGAAATATTTGCAAAATCTCACGACAATGTCTCAAATCCAATAGATTGTCATTCTTAAAAAGCACCGAAATCAGTAAGAGTTTTGATGACTAAAGCATGTTGCACTTATCTTAATGAGGCAAAATTAAGACTATTTAACAGAAATTATGGAGGTTTTAGGGCTTTATCTATCTCCCCTCTTGAAGAAAATATGCATGTGTGCATGCACATACAACTCTCTCTCTCTCATACACTCCCTCTATCTTAAAGTGGCACTGGTAACTCAGTCTGGAGTAAAAATACAGCAGCATTGGTTTCATTGGAGACCCCCTCCTGACACACATTCCTAAGGTAAAGGTAAAGGTTTTCCCCTGACATGAAGTCCGACTCTGGGGTGGGTGCTCATCTCCATTTCTAAGCCAAAGAGCTGGCGTTGTCCATAGATACCTCCAAGGTCATGTGGTTGGCATAACTGCATGGAGCGCTGTTACCTTCCCGCCAGAGCGGTACCTATTGATCTACTCACATTTGCCTGTTTTTGAACTGCTAGGTTGGCAGAAGCTAGGGTTGACAACAGAAGCTCACGTCGCTTCGTGGATTTGAACCTGTGTCCTTTCAGTCAACAAGCTCAGCAGCTCAGTGCTTTAACCCACTGCGCCACCGGGGGCACACATTCCTACTAAATAGTGAATGGAACACAAAAAAGTGCTCTCAAACTGTTGAGACGATGGCACTGCTCAATAGTCCTATCAAGAAAGAGTGCAAAGCAGCAGCAAAATTCAGCACCAGTCTCCAGAATGGCAAAGGGGATTCTGGGAGCTGTAGTCCTAAATGTACCTTTTTCAACCACTTGGAAAAATAAAAAATACTTGGTTTTTTGTTAGCAGCTACACAATATACCTTCAACAGCATTAGATCATTATCCGATGTGTTGAAAACAAAGCCTGGGTGAGGAATCTGTTTGGCAACTGCAATGGTCTGTTTCGAACGCTCTGTCTTATTCCGTGAATGAGCACCAAGAATGACTTTGACGGTTTCATTGCTACAAAAATAAAGAGGACAAATTAGAATACATGCAAAGTGCATTCCTAGCAAGTAGAATACTAATGCATTGCCTGAAATCTTATTGGTGCTCGTTTTGGTGCAGCATAATTACATCAGTGTAACTAGTATAAAAAGGAAGAATGATACCGCAGGCAGGTGGCCATGGAAGAAGTAAGGCATGGGAGAAGTGACCATCTAGAGCTTGGAGATCTTACCATCACTGTTGGGTTTATGTTGGGCTTATGACTGCACACTAAGGATTGATTGACTGATTGAGTGTGTTATAGGAATGCCAGCTGTCAGGCCCTGGCCCTGAGATTCAGCACTTGGACCCTCTACTTCAGGACTCAGGGCAAGGAGGAAAAACTACACAGGATGAAAGCACATTTTAGAGATTCTTTTGCTAACTTAAAAACATACTTTGTGCAGTTGCTCAAGGTATTATACTTAATAATATCATCAATGTTCCTTTTAACATCATTCTTGTAACCAGGACCCGCTTCTTGTGACATCCCAAGAGCTTCTTCCTAGAAACTTTACTGCACGATGCTGCTCTCCTCCATCCTTCGTGTGAACAGGGTAGTAGCAATTTACTGACATGGGGACCTTTGCTATCATACTACTGAAGCATCATGCCACTGTAATGTTTCAGCAGTGCTAGGTGCATAACATAAATCTACTCTCACACTGTACAGATTTTCTCTGTTTAAATTGGTTAAAGATAATTCAAAATTGCAGACTTTGTTTTCAAAAGGTACCGAATTCATCTGCACAAATTTTACAGGAATAAAAAA